CGAGGAAGAGAGGGGGAGGGGGTACCGGGAGACCTCGACAGGGGTACCGGGTGTAGTAGGACACGGACTCGTCAAACCGGACATCACGGGAGTCTAGGAACTGGTGGAGGGGAGGGTGGTAAAAGGACCAGTCAGCAGAGTCCACTGGGAAACCAAGGAAGACACATGGGACGGCGCGTGCCGAGAGCTTGTCCGCGGAGGTGTCGCGAACAAGTGCAAGGCAGCCCCAGACTCGAAAGGCCGACCCAACACCAGGGGATCCAGTCCAAAGACTGGTCGGTGAAGCCTCGGGCCGCGAGACACGCGGCTGGAGGTTCAGCTGGTGTGCGGCGTAGCGAACCGCGTGGGGCCACAGAAAATGGGGCGCACGGGCATGAATCATGGACGTGCGGGCGATGTCCATGACCAAGCCTATGCGGCGCTCAGCAACCCCATTCTGCTGTGGGGACTCTGGCAGCGTCCAGGACTGGGTGATGCCCTGTTCGCCGCAGAATCCGCCGAGAATGCCGGAGCGAAACTCGCCCCCACGGTCGGAGTGAAGACAACTGACTCGACGACCACGAGTGCCCTCAGTGGCTAGAAGCCACCTGATCAGCGTAGCAGTCACCTCGGACTTCTTCGCAAGAGGGAACACTGTGGTGTACCTGGAGAAGTCGTCGACGACCACCAGAAAGTAACGCTCCCTCCCAGACCCCTGCGTCGGGGCAGGGCCCCAGACGTCCAAGTGGAGAGTCTCGAAGGGAGCGGTGGCCGGACGAAGGGAGGAGGAGTGGGGAGTGGCGCGTAAGCGACCGGCGACGCACGGAGAGCAAGGAGGGGCAAGCGAGAGAGGGAGCGACGGGAAGGTGCGTGGGAGACCTGTGACTAGTCCCTAACTGAGCATGCCACGAAGGCGAGGGATCGACGGGTGGCCAAGACGGTGGTGCCACAGGACGGTGCGGTGGGCGAGAGAGCGACAGGAGCAAGACGCAGCGACTGGACTGGACACAGCGACCGGACTGGACACGACTACCTGGCTAGACACAGCAACTGGACTGGGGACCTGAGCCGGAGGGGACGCAACAACCTGAGGGGAGGACGCGACCGGGGAGCGCTTGGTGTGGAGAACGTAGAGACCGGAGCGGGGCTCCCTGGTGAACGTGGCCAAAACAGCACCTGTGGTAGCGTCAGTACAGACTGCAGTCCGCCCCCCCCCCCACAAAGGTAACGGTGATCCCCCTGTCCTGGAGGTATCCAACACCCACCAAGTTCCGAGTGAACGAGGGGATGTGGAGGCCGCGCAAGACACCACAGGGGACCACAGGGCACGGGAGGGTGGTGGAGCTGCGCGCAACGGCTGGTCCTGAAGAATGATCAGCCAAAGCTACCGGAACCGGAGCAAGAAGTGGTGTGAGGGTCGTGTGGTCGCGGAAGAAACACTGCGACGCGCCAGAGTCCAGCGTGAACGACAGAGACGCCTCAGCCGGAGGCGTGTCAGGTCCGGAGGCTACACAAGCACCTAGAGCAGAAACACAAGCACCTAGACTAGAGAGGCACAGGTCTACACTAACAGGAGGCAAGCATCCTAGACTACGAACACGCGAGCACACAAATCCATCAGCACTATAGTCAACATCAGCATACAAAGCATACTGACGAGCATCGTCCATAGACAGTTCAAATACAGGAATCTTACGGGCTAGCAGGCGAGCCCAGCGCGGGGTGGTCGCCTCAGGACCCCAGCGTGCACGGTAGAGGTCGTCGAGGCGGCGGAAGCACCGCGCTGCAGAGTGGTCGTCGCGGCCGCAGACACAGGGACTGCCAGGTCCGGTGACGCACCAGTGGTCGCAGGGGCCGGTGTCGCGCCGCGGGGGGCGAGGGGCCCAGCTGGTAGTGCTGCTGCTGCGGCCAGTGCTCCCGGGTCCTCCAGGTCCCCACTGTGGCGGAGGGCCCCAGTGCTGCTGCGGACCCCACTGCAGTGGGGGTCCCCACGTCTGAAACTGCTGTGGTGCCTGCCACTGCTGCTGTCCCTGGTGCAGCTGCTGTCTCTGCTGTGGCTGCTGCTGCTGTGGCTGCTGCTGCTGGGGCCCCGCACCACCGCTGGTCGAACCTCCTCCAGCAGGTGGGTCAGCACCTCCTCCAGAGCTCCCTCCGCCTGGGGCAACACCGCCACCACTGCCGCCCCCAGGGCCGCCTCCACCACCGCCACCTCCTCCACCGCCGCCACCCCCCTTCCCCCCTTTCTTGCCCCCCTTGCCCCGTTTCTGCCTGTCAGCGGCAGAAACAGCTGCAGTGTCCTCAGAAACCGACACAGCAGCAGAGGCACGTGTAGCAGTGAAGGTAGGAAGCTGGGGGACAGCACACCCCTCAAACAAACGAGGGGCAACTGCGTCAGTGGCTGAGGCAACAGAGAGGAGGTTACTCTCGATCTTCCCGAGAGTGGTCTCGAGAAGATCAATCGTAAGCTCACTGGGGTGATGCTGGAGAAGTGCGTCACGGGCAGTGGAGAGGCGGTCAGGGAGACGAGTGACTACCCAGTGGACTGTGAGCCAAATAGGAGGAGGAGCAACAAGAAGCTGAGCCTCAGTGCAAGCTGCTCGGTAGCTAGCGACAAGGGAGCGCAAGTGTGTGGCTAGGTCAGAGACAGTCGCAAAAGAGTCGAGGTCGGGAAACACGAACGGCATGAGGATGCGGCTGAGGGAGGCAGAGGAAGGGGTGGAATAGCGTGCAGAAATAGCATCATACACCTCCTTCGCAGTCTCTACCAGGTCGAAGTGGGCGGCCTCAGTTGGTGGAAGGAGCTCGGTCAGCGCGAGTGCAGCCGCAGCGTCACGGGAGTCCCAAACGTCCCGCGCCAAGACGAGACGAGCGTAGTCCGCCTGTGCCTCCGGAGTCGGGGGGGGCACGGCAGGGAGGGGCTCGGGACGCGGTGGTGCCTGGAGGGCGCCGGACGCGTGGGCGTACAGGGTGGCGCCGTCCTGGCGCTGACTGGTGAGATAGCGCTGAGTCTGGCGGAGCCAGGTGCCGAACTCTATCGGGCGCCCCTCTGCATCGAAACGAAGGCGGCGGGAGGAGTCCATATTGGACGCTAGGCTAGGAACAGCTGGAGCACGGAGCAAACGGAGCTAGGAGCGAGGAGCGCCAGGTGGGACTAGGCGAGGTACTGCTGGAGCACGGAGGAAAACTGAGCTAGGAACGCCAGTCTAGTAACGAACGGAGCTGGGAGTTAGCTGACCTAGGAGCACACGGCTGGAGGAGGCAGGGCTGACGAGCCGATCGAGGAGCCAGAGGGTCGTTCGAGGGGCTGGCGGAGCGAGGAGAGACCTAGCTAACAACGAACGTCAGGACTAGCCTAAACAGCTAAGCGGAGCGGCCTCCAGCCGCGACGGTGCGAAACACTGTGAGTATGAGTGACGCGAGTGTCGAACCAACGGAGGTCGGGTGGTCCTGGGTGATGTGCGCGCGTGATAAGGGGATGTGAGCGTTTGGAAGGGGCTCTGAGCGGTTGGAAGGGGCTGTGAGCGGTTGGAAGGGGCTGTGAGCGGTTGGAAGGGGCTGTGAGCGGTTGGAAGGGGCTGTGAGCGGTTGGAAGGGGCTGTGAGCGGTTGAAAGGGGCTGTGGGCGGGTGGGAGGGGCTAGCTGGCGCCAGCTGCTGGCGGCTAGGTTCCGGTGGCTAGCTGCTGCTGGCGGCTAGCTTCTGCCTAGCCGTGCTGCTGCTGCAGGAGCACGCGCTGCTGCCTAGCCGTGCTGCTGCTGCAATGCACACGTTGCTGCCTAGCCGTGCTGCTGCTGCAATGCACGCGCTGCTGCCTAGCCGTGCTGCTGCTGCAATGCACGCGCTGCTGCCTAGCCGTGCTGCTGCAGCAAAGCACGCGCTGCTGCTGCAATGCGCGTGCTGCAGTGGCGTGCGCGGCTGCCGCTGGCTAACGCGCGCGCTGCTGCGGGCTAAGAACGACTACGCGGGCCCGCGGGGGGGGGGGGGGGAGAGTCCCTTCTGGAGCGCGACGAAACGAGGGGCCAGCGGGGCCCTGTAAACGCGACGAAAAACGAGGCCCGCGGGGGCCCTTAAACGCGACGAAAACGAGGCCCGCGGGGGCCCTTAAACGCGACGAAAACGAGGCCCGCGGGGGCCGTCCTACCCGCGACGAAACGGGGCCTAAGGGACGGGCGCCTCGGGACCGGCTAAGGGAGGGAGCGGAAGCGTGGGAGGGAGTAAAAAACCTACTCTAATACCATCTTAAGATAGGCTAGGAGACAAGTGTCGAGAGTAATGTTTGAGTAAGGAGAGACAAGGAGATACAAATGTCGACCTAAAGTGTTGTACCCTTTAGAGGGCAACTCACTGTAGCCTATCTAACAATATATAGAATATATAAACATTTGACAATACCTTATATATAGTTTGACATATATATAAGTTGCTGAATGTTTTATGGTATTTTTGGGATCACCAAGTTCAGTCCGGGCAAAAAAGCGGATGCCTGAATATTACAGTGTGCTGTTCAAAATACAGTTTTCATGATATAGTTTTTGATCAATTACACGGCAATCCTGGAAAGCTGGACCATAGCAAGGGCAATCATGGCATTCTACCCCACAAATTAGGTCACAACTACCAGTACCGACGAGGCTCTTGACACAGTGCTGACACTCCAAGCATCACGTCAACGAAACCTTCTTTCTACACACCGACACAAAACAATTTGCCCGGAAGCAGGAAGCCCACAACGCAATCGCAAGTTGGATCTCTGTTTTCCTCCTTCACGCACTTGCCATTGAGCCCACAATCCACCAATCATTCATCTGCAGAAAAGAAAACCAAGGCAAAAAGACAAATATATTCACCTTAAAAAGCAATATTGAGTACGGTGTGCATGCAATCCTCCACGGTTGAGTGGAGGCTAAAACACTGAAGTGGCAAGAGAGATCTGCTAATAACTTCAGACTCAAACCCAAGAAACTCCCAAGGACAGGTTGAAAACACAACCCACAACACAACCCCTTGCACTCCTCCAACCCACCAATGCAAGTGAGCTGGTCAGCAGACAACTTGTAGCCGGGGTCGCAGAGACAGTACTCAGCATCCTTTACTTTATCGATCCTGCACGTGCCGCCATACCCACAATCCCTATCGCAGTAATCTGCAAAGAATACAGATTAAAATGAAAAAAAAAAAAAGGAATGATGACAACCATGAGGTTGCAACCTTCACTGCTGCAGGCTGCAACAAGGGCACATGAAACAAGAGGTAGGCTGTGCGAAGCATGGCAGTGGTTGCAGATGCATTCATGCACTCCAGCTCTTTCCACCACATGTCCGTGGCAAGAACGGCGGTTCCATTCACACTTGACAGCGCCCAAGCCAGAGAGTGAAGCTGAGGTGAGAAGAGTTCACATAGAGCTCATTGGCAAATTCATCGTTGTGGAAACTGGGGCTTGAGCTCACATGCTGTACAAGTCTAGGTAGCATGGAACTCACCCCACTCGGTACAATATGTGATGGTGTCCCCGTTCCTCCTGCACGTCTTGCTGTCCGGACAGGCCGCATTGCATATGTCTGCAGTGGAATGGAGTTGATGCAAAAGAAGGAAACAATTCAGGAGAATGCACAGATAGAAACCCAGGTGGAACATACGTGATAGCAGCTCAGCTGAGGAGTAGCCAACATGTACAGGCTTGAGGTTCCACCAACTCGTGGCCTCAAGGTCAGTCTCGAAGAGAGACCTTTCAACTCACCACTACAGTGTCCATTCCTATCCACTTGGTAGCCCACAAAGCAATCGCATTCTGCATGGCCGAATCCCTCCTCATCATATCTCTTCACGCACGTGCCTTCGCCACAATCCACTGCGTCACAAATGTCTGCAGAAAAGAAAACCAAGGCGAGAGAAAGGTTTCCATCTTAGAAACAAAGTTGATTCTGCTTGCAATCCTTCAAGAGGAGAGGCGGAATCAAGGAGGTGGCAAGCGAAATCAAGCTCAGAGCCAAGCAACTCCCAGGGCAGGTGGAGAACGCAACACACAACCGCTTGCACTCCTCCAACCCACCAATGCAATAGCGCCCGTCGGCAGACAGTCTGTAGCCTTTGCCGCAGTCACAATACGGATTTCCCTTCGTGTCCTTCTTGCACGAGCCGGACCAACAGTCGAAACCAAACCAATCACAGTTGTCTGCAACAAAACGGAAACACATTAAATAGGAGTGACGATGAACAGGATACACACATAGAGGGGAATGATGAGTATTGACAAGCATGGAAGCATGACAACCATGAGTTATGACAAGCATGGAATGAGAGGTACGCAACATGTCAGTTCACGCGATCATGGATGCCAAATCTCAATGTCGCTGTCCCACATCTTGGCTGGATGACATTGGGACATGCTACTTGCACCACGTTCTTTTGATGTACTCCCCCGCTGGACGACCGGTCAAGTGGAGCAAGTGGAGTGGAGCAAGGCAGTCAAGTGAGCTCACCAATGCACTCGTCATAATACTTTGTGAAGCCGGTGATGCAAGTACATTCTGTATTTCCGTCTGCATCCGTCCTGCACTTGCCGCTGGTCCCACAATCCACTGAAGCACACTTGTCTGCACATACACATGCATGGAAGTGGTGAGGTTTGACAGCAATGGAATCACATAGTGATGCATCGTGAGCATCGTGAGTGTCATGCCTGGCGGCAGTTTCAGAAAACAAAGGCAGATAAAAACTCCCAAGCATGAATGCGACCAGTGATCAAAACTCCCGGATTCTCACTCCCAATAAAATACTGTTAACCCCTTCATCACAATGACACTGCCACCAGGTCTTGGGTGTATGCCAGCGTAACGTGCTACTTCCACTGCACCTTGTAAGATATTAGATGGACACTTGGGATGAGTGAGCAAGTGCAGCAACTCAACCAACCAGCACAACTCACCAACGCAAGTGTCATTGCCCGGAAGCTTCTCGAAGCCCTTGATGCAATTGCAAGTTGTATTTCCATTTGCATCCTTGCTGCAAGTTGAGTTGGCTGTGCAAGTCACGAGCTGACACTTGTCTGCGATGCACGCGGATTAGGAAGAGCAATGGAGGTGCGGTGCATGAAGAGTGGAATGGAGGCTGTGGGAGGAGAAAATAATCACATGTGAGAAATGAGGCATGGGCTAATAATTACAGTGCTTGCAGAGCAGATGCAAGCATGCACTTGCTCGCCCCATCACTCGCTCGCTCGCTCCAGGTACCACTGCGTGCCACTCACCAACACAAGTGATCCTGTCGGGAGGCATCTGGAAGCCAGTGTTGCAAGCACAGGTGGCATCTCCATTCGCATCCTTGATGCACTTGCCGTTGGGCCCACAACTCACAAAAGTACATTTGTCTGCAACGGAAGAAAGGGGCCATGGAAGCAAGCAAGGAAAGCGTGTCCGGGAAGGATAAATAAGGGGAATGCGTAGCAAGAACGCATTCATTCATTCATTGGCTGAACGGAAACACAAAGCGCACACTTTACAACGACAAAGTCAGGCCGTGTTAGCTCATCATCACATTCTTCGTTGCTCTAGTCGCTGTTCGTTGCTGTTGTGGAAATCGGGGTTTGAACTCACGTGCTGGGGAGTCTCGGTTACACGACACGCAACTCACCAACACAGGTGTTGCTGTCAGAAGAATATTGAAAGCCGTTGTTACACACGCAATCCGGGACCATGCTCGCATCCTTCACACAACTGGCGTTGGCCACACAGTACAGATTGCACTTGTCTGCAGTAAAAGGGAGTTGGTGCAGAAGAAGGGGAAACTGGTCACTAGAACGTAGCATCCACAGACCCACACAATGGGACAGCTTTGGAAGATCCAATAGAATCATGCATGTTCCTCTCCTCAGAACGTACTTGCGAGCAAAACATCGGCCCACAACAAGTATCCTAACGAGCACAGTCCTTTTGCGCCTCGGAATCCACGGGCTTGCATGCACTGTACCTTGGCAGGTGCCGTTGATGACAGCATAGCCCTCCTTGCACCGGCAGGTGGCTGCTCTGTCGTCGGTAACGCTTGTCTCCCAACACACGGAGTTGGCGGGGCATGTGGCGTACTTGCACACCGTGGAGGACGCTGCACATGACACGAGCGCATTCACATTGGACTTGCTCTCTCACTGCCAAACCTCGCTGATTCAGAAGCCTTGGGCCAAGTAAAACAGGTTCCATGCACCAAGAGGTGAAAGGCAGCAAGGGGTGAAAGGCAGCAAGGGGTGAAAGGCAGCAAGGGGTGAAAGGCACCAAGGGGTGAAAGGCACCAAGGGGTGAAAGGCAGCAAGGGGTGAAAGGCAGCAAGGGGTGAAAGGCACCAAGGGGTGAAAGGCAGCAAGGGGTGAAAGGCAGCAAGGGGTGAAAGGCACCAAGGGGTGAAAGGCAGCAAGGGGTGAAAGGCACCAAGGGGTGAAAGGCAGCAAGGGGTGAAAGGCAGCAAGGGGTGAAAGGCAGCAAGGGGTGAAAGGCACCAAGGGGTGAAAGGCAGCAAGGGGTGAAAGGCAGCAAGGGGTGAAAGGCACCAAGGGGTGAAAGGCAGCAAGGGGTGAAAGGCAGCAAGGGGTGAAAGGCACCAAGGGGTGAAAGGCACCAAGGGGTGAAAGGCAGCAAGGGGTGAAAGGCACCAAGGGGTGAAAGGCAGCAAGGGGTGAAAGGCAGCAAGGGGTGAAAGGCAGCAAGGGGTGAAAGGCAGCAAGGGGTGAAAGGCAGCAAGGGGTGAAAGGCACCAAGGGGTGAAAGGCAGCAAGGGGTGAAAGGCAGCAAGGGGTGAAAGGCACCAAGGGGTGAAAGGCAGCAAGGGGTGAAAGGCAGCAAGGGGTGAAAGGCACCAAGGGGTGAAAGGCACCAAGGGGTGAAAGGCAGCAAGGGGTGAAAGGCACCAAGGGGTGAAAGGCAGCAAGGGGTGAAAGGCAGCAAGGGGTGAAAGGCAGCAAGGGGTGAAAGGCAGCAAGGGGTGAAAGGCACCAAGGGGTGAAAGGCAGCAAGGGGTGAAAGGCACCAAGGGGTGAAAGGCACCAAGGGGTGAAAGGCAGCAAGGGGTGAAAGGCAGCAAGGGGTGAAAGGCAGCAAGGGGTGAAAGGCAGCAAGGGGTGAAAGGCACCAAGGGGTGAAAGGCACCAAGGGGTGAAAGGCAGCAAGGGGTGAAAGGCAGCAAGGGGTGAAAGGCACCAAGGGGTGAAAGGCAGCAAGGGGTGAAAGGCACCAAGGGGTGAAAGGCAGCAAGGGGTGAAAGGCAGCAAGGGGTGAAAGGCAGCAAGGGGTGAAAGGCAGCAAGGGGTGAAAGGCAGCAAGGGGTGAAAGGCAGCAAGGGGTGAAAGGCAGCAAGGGGTGAAAGGCACCAAGGGGTGAAAGGCAGCAAGGGGTGAAAGGCACCAAGGGGTGAAAGGCACCAAGGGGTGAAAGGCACCAAGGGGTGAAAGGCAGCAAGGGGTGAAAGGCACCAAGGGGTGAAAGGCACCAAGGGGTGAAAGGCAGCAAGGGGTGAAAGGCAGCAAGGGGTGAAAGGCAGCAAGGGGTGAAAGGCACCAAGGGGTGAAAGGCAGCAAGGGGTGAAAGGCAGCAAGGGGTGAAAGGCACCAAGGGGTGAAAGGCACCAAGGGGTGAAAGGCAGCAAGGGGTGAAAGGCAGCAAGGGGTGAAAGGCAGCAAGGGGTGAAAGGCAGCAAGGGGTGAAAGGCAGCAAGGGGTGAAAGGCAGCAAGGGGTGAAAGGCACCAAGGGGTGAAAGGCAGCAAGGGGTGAAAGGCAGCAAGGGGTGAAAGGCACCAAGGGGTGAAAGGCACCAAGGGGTGAAAGGCAGCAAGGGGTGAAAGGCAGCAAGGGGTGAAAGGCAGCAAGGGGTGAAAGGCAGCAAGGGGTGAAAGGCAGCAAGGGGTGAAAGGCAGCAAGGGGTGAAAGGCAGCAAGGGGTGAAAGGCAGCAAGGGGTGAAAGGCAGCAAGGGGTGAAAGGCAGCAAGGGGTGAAAGGCAGCAAGGGGTGAAAGGCAGCAAGGGGTGAAAGGCAGCAAGGGGTGAAAGGCAGCAAGGGGTGAAAGGCAGCAAGGGGTGAAAGGCAGCAAGGGGTGAAAGGCAGCAAGGGGTGAAAGGCAGCAAGGGGTGAAAGGCAGCAAGGGGTGAAAGGCAGCAAGGGGTGAAAGGCAGCAAGGGGTGAAAGGCACCAAGGGGTGAAAGGCAGCAAGGGGTGAAAGGCACCAAGGGGTGAAAGGCACCAAGGGGTGAAAGGCAGCAAGGGGTGAAAGGCAGCAAGGGGTGAAAGGCAGCAAGGGGTGAAAGGCAGCAAGGGGTGAAAGGCACCAAGGGGTGAAAGGCACCAAGGGGTGAAAGGCAGCAAGGGGTGAAAGGCAGCAAGGGGTGAAAGGCACCAAGGGGTGAAAGGCAGCAAGGGGTGAAAGGCACCAAGGGGTGAAAGGCAGCAAGGGGTGAAAGGCAGCAAGGGGTGAAAGGCAGCAAGGGGTGAAAGGCAGCAAGGGGTGAAAGGCAGCAAGGGGTGAAAGGCAGCAAGGGGTGAAAGGCAGCAAGGGGTGAAAGGCACCAAGGGGTGAAAGGCAGCAAGGGGTGAAAGGCACCAAGGGGTGAAAGGCACCAAGGGGTGAAAGGCACCAAGGGGTGAAAGGCAGCAAGGGGTGAAAGGCACCAAGGGGTGAAAGGCACCAAGGGGTGAAAGGCAGCAAGGGGTGAAAGGCAGCAAGGGGTGAAAGGCAGCAAGGGGTGAAAGGCACCAAGGGGTGAAAGGCAGCAAGGGGTGAAAGGCAGCAAGGGGTGAAAGGCACCAAGGGGTGAAAGGCACCAAGGGGTGAAAGGCAGCAAGGGGTGAAAGGCAGCAAGGGGTGAAAGGCAGCAAGGGGTGAAAGGCAGCAAGGGGTGAAAGGCAGCAAGGGGTGAAAGGCACCAAGGGGTGAAAGGCACCAAGGGGTGAAAGGCACCAAGGGGTGAAAGGCACCAAGGGGTGAAAGGCAGCAAGGGGTGAAAGGCAGCAAGGGGTGAAAGGCACCAAGGGGTGAAAGGCACCAAGGGGTGAAAGGCAGCAAGGGGTGAAAGGCAGCAAGGGGTGAAAGGCACCAAGGGGTGAAAGGCAGCAAGGGGTGAAAGGCAGCAAGGGGTGAAAGGCAGCAAGGGGTGAAAGGCACCAAGGGGTGAAAGGCAGCAAGGGGTGAAAGGCAGCAAGGGGTGAAAGGCACCAAGGGGTGAAAGGCACCAAGGGGTGAAAGGCAGCAAGGGGTGAAAGGCAGCAAGGGGTGAAAGGCAGCAAGGGGTGAAAGGCAGCAAGGGGTGAAAGGCAGCAAGGGGTGAAAGGCACCAAGGGGTGAAAGGCACCAAGGGGTGAAAGGCACCAAGGGGTGAAAGGCACCAAGGGGTGAAAGGCAGCAAGGGGTGAAAGGCAGCAAGGGGTGAAAGGCACCAAGGGGTGAAAGGCACCAAGGGGTGAAAGGCAGCAAGGGGTGAAAGGCAGCAAGGGGTGAAAGGCACCAAGGGGTGAAAGGCACCAAGGGGTGAAAGGCACCAAGGGGTGAAAGGCACCAAGGGGTGAAAGGCACCAAGGGGTGAAAGGCAGCAAGGGGTGAAAGGCAGCAAGGGACATACAGAATCCGCAGACAACTGACGCGAGTGCTTGGGATGATGTGATGGTCGCGATGTTGCTGCTTGGGGGAAGAAGAAGAGAACAGAAGGCAAACACAGCTTAGAGCCATGGTCCCGCCTTCTCTGATTCCATCCGATTTCACCCCGTTCAACGCCACCCATGCCATCCTCTCCCTCCCTCCCACCACTCTCCCTAACCCCTTCTCTTTTCCCTCCTCCCATCGCCCACCCTTTGCCCTACCTTGCCTTGCCCCATACGCATCACCCACTTAGATCCACCACAGCACTACCTTGCACGCCCACGCGCACGGACCTGGAGAAGGAGTAGATGTGCTGCATGACAGCGCCGTTGCAGTTGGTGCCCGGGTAGAACGACACCCGGGAGCACGGCCCACTCGCCCCGCCGCCCGCCAAGCTGCTGCCGCTCCCCCACTGCACGCTCGCAACCGTGCTCACGCTAGCGGGTGCCGTGCCAGCGGGCACGCGGGTGCAGCGCGAGGAGGGGTCGAAGGAGACGTTGTAGCGGCCCACTTTCACCTATGTGGTCACTGCCACCCTCGCGTCTAACTCGGTGGGCCACCCTGCACTGGCGTCCACAGTGTCTCCGGCTGATGCACCACCCGGGGTGACGCCACGTGACGCGATGCAGGGAGGGCGCGGGCAGAGCAGCACGGGGAGGTGAGGGAGTCAATTGGGCGAGAGAGAGATTTCATTGTCGACTCACTACAATCTCGACTCGATTGGAAGCACCGTGACGAGATGTACAATTTGATGTATAACGTATGTGTCAGCATGCGCTTATGAAGAACACTGGACTACAAGCGCACCCCGCCATACCGTGACAATGCTGCATCCCTATGCGACGGGCAAAGCTCGTATCTTACTGCACGTGCAGCCCCACGCCACGACAGGCACTCTACTGACAGGCACTCTACTGACAGGGCGTGCACTGGAGGAAGAGCGCCAAGGAGCGTACCGATACCGCAGCGAGCCGACACTGGATACGGATAGGGGAGACTGGAGTTGGTGGTGCTGGGGGTCAGGCTGTAGAGGGGAGGGGAGGCACAGAAAGCACGCGAGAGAAGAAAGGCTGGTTGAGCCGCCATGGAGGTCATCACGCTGCCTCGTTATAACTCAAATTGCGTTCCGTTTCATCGAATCATTCCAGGCAACCAGTTTTGGTTCACTGCCAACACAAGTCAAATCAAATTCGACCGCATTGTACCCCTCTCCACCCCACCCCACGGCACGGGCGCGACGCTGACCTTGCGGGCTTCACGAGGGAGAGCGAGGAGGTGCCGGAGCAACCCGCGCCGCTCCAGAAGGTGATGTTGGCGCACGCGGGGAGATTGGCCGCGGCAGCGGACGACCACTGCACGCTGGCGCTGTAAGCGGTGCGAGGCAGGTTGGTGCAGCGCGCCGCGGAGAAGTTGAACGCGAAGGTGCTCGTCGGGGACACCGTGATCCGCGTCGCCACTGGCGCCAGCGGCTCGGGCATTGGAAACATGATTTGGCCGGACGCCCTGCGGATGACGTCACTCGCTGCAGCGGAGGGCGAGAAGGGACGAGAGGGGAAGAGAGCAGAACGGGGAGTTGGTTGGCGTGGTCTGCTCTGGTCGGCCCGCATTCCGCGCATTTTCCGGTCGAATTCGGTGCCGTGCGAGCCCGAACGCCGCCTTTGAGCTTGAGGAGTGACGCGGAGGACGCGCGGGTGCGGACACACTGCCAGTGCACGCTAATGTGGAGGCGAGATATGGTGGGCGGTGGGCACAAAAGAAACAAGGGACGGACGAAAGCACACTGGCATGCGCACACAGCAGGCGCAGACAGCAGCACTCGCAGGGCGGCACGGGTGGTGGACTGACCGAGAATGAGGCGGCATGGGTGGTGGACTGACCGAGAATGAGGGGCGGCGAGCGCGAGCAGCGCGAGCAGCGCCGGAAAGCCGCCCATCGTGGCGAGCGGAGCGGAAAACCGATCGGCGCGGCGGAGAGGCGCGGCAGAGAGGCGCAGCGCAGGTGACGGTAGCGATCGTGGATGGCAGTGCTTGCCGAGATATGGGAGCACATTCGCCGATGATGGTTGGGCAGAATGAGGGGCGGCGAGATAGTATCGCAGAGAGAGCGACGGCGAGATGGCACAACAGGGGGTTATGGCACAAAAGCGGCACTTCACGAGGCTCCATGGCTGCTGTGGGCTGGCTATTTGAAGTGCGAGCTCGACGCTACCACGCCGCTGCGAGGCGACGAAGGTTGTGGAACGTGGTAGTGTGGCGGGGGACAAGATCAATGATGAGAGCGGGGAATACGGTGGGGAGTCGAACAAATGGGACGAGATGAAACGTGATCAGTCAGTGAAGGATGATGCGGGAGTATTCGGCAGGAACGATTCACGAAAGCCAGGGTCAAAGCAATTGCATGTCGGAAAGGTTAGCAAAGCTAGAAATCACTCGAGCAGGTTATCAATTGGCTGAACAGATTTGACACCTTGGCTGTAACCAGTTTCTGAGGATTTCATTTCTTGCCGAGTCCACAAGGTGAGTACGCCCGACTTGTGTCGCTGAACGCGATTGAGCATCGCGTCAAGCAAAACAAGCAAAATGATTTTTTTCGAAAGTGTGTAACACTTTCTAAAAATGCGTATTGCGAAAGCGCAGCTGCCTGTAACGAAGCAAAGCAACGGGGAATTACAATTCGCCGAGTACATAACGAGGGTTGGAGGCCATTTGGCCTCCACCCACGACTTCGTTTCGGAACTTTGCAGTTCCACTCCATTCTCGTCCAACCACCTCGAAGGTTTCCACTAAAAACTACCTACTAAGCTAAGACTCACTTATACGTTCAACCCATGCGCCTGATTTTCCACAAGGGCAAGACTATCACACTTGCGACTGTAATTGGCGGGCGCTCAACTGAGAGCGAAGTGCGTCGGGCGAAACGCCAACAGGCGCGCCAGAGACGAAATCGCCACTGGCGCCAGTGGCGCGCGCTAGGGACAACATCGCCAATGGCGCAAGTGGCGTGCGATTGGGACGCAATCGCCACTGGCGCCAGTGGCGCGCAATCGGGACGAAATCGCCACTGGCGCAAGTGCCACGCGCCAAGGACGAAATCGCCACACGCGCGCGTGTGGCGAAATTGCCACGTGCGCCAGTGGCAAAATCGCCACTGGCGCTCGAGGGACGAAATGGCCGCTGGCGCGGCAGTTTGAAATTGCTACTGCAGCGCCTAAGTCGTTTGACTGGGCTTCTTTTGTTGCCTAAGTGCTGCAAGTATTTTTAAAGCTGCAGTATACATTTGAAAGGTTGGGTTCAAAAACTTTTGAAATTTGAAAAGTTGCCCCAAAGCTGTGAGGCAGACAATAAAAACCCTAAACCTGGCTGACAAATGTATACTGCAGCTTTAAGTTTAGGTTTTCTTTTTGTTATGCTCTCTTCATTAATTTTCTATTAATCTCTATGCTCCTCTTGTTACTTGGTGGCAGAAAAATATGCTCAACACCACAGACATGGTAAGACATTCACAAAGACTCTACTAGTCGCGCGGGAGAGCTACATTGACGACAGGATCAACTGCACGCGCACGGACGTCTCCCAATGAAAATAGGGGACCGAGGGTCCACGTGTGGCCTGAGAGCCGTCCCCCAGGGGGGGAGGGGGACCGAGGGTCCCCGTGTGGCCTGAGAGCCGTCCCCCAGGGGGGGAGGGGGACCGAGTGTCCCCGTGTGGCCTGAGAGCCGTCCCCCAGGGGGGGAGGGGGACCGAGGGTCCCCGTGTGGCCTGAGAGCCGTCCCCCAGGGGGGGAGGGGGACCGAGGGTCCCCGTGTGGCCTGAGAGCCGTCCCCCAGGGGGGGAGGGGGACCGAGGGTCCCCGTGTGGCCTGAGAGCCGTCCCCCAGGGGGGGAGGGGGACCGAGGGTCCCCGCGTGGCCTGAGAGCCGTCCCCTAGGGGGGGGAGGGGGACCGAGGGTCCCCGTGTGGCCTGAGAGCCGTCCCCTAGGGGGGGAGGGGGACCGAGGGTCCCCGTGTGGCCTTAGAGCCGTCCGATAGGGGGGGAAGGGGACCAAGGGTCTCCATGTTGGCCTTGCCGTAAGATGGCTGAAATTGGAACGTTGTGTGCGTTAGTATGTATGGATCATCCTTGGCTATTGATGTACCGTATATAAGATTAAAAAAAAAAAAAAAAAAAAAAAAAAAAAAAAAAAAAAAAGGCTCAAGCCTTTCTTGACCAACAACGGTTGGTTTGGAGCCCCATTAGAATCCAGAGAAGCAATTGTTGGAGTGATCGGGTTACAAATGGTAGAGTGCAACTCAATATAGATTTGAATCTGACTTGACGTCGGTTGTTCACACACCCTCGTAATGGCAATGAGGAAGGGATTGGTTTTCCCCATCACTCTCCTCCCACTTTGTTATATCGCACAGGAAACGGACATAGAAGCATGGGTGTTATGCGACTTGCATGCTGTATCACAAGTTCGCATCGCGTTAAGAACTCGAATAAGCCTTGGTTGGGAGTTCAAGACGGACTTGTGTGCCAAAGAAAGAAGTATGTTCCTATCCAACCAACATGACGGACAACCCCTCCCGCGACTACCAATTCATACATTCACGCTGTACCGTAGTAAGCCGGACATCAACCAGTTGGAAGTGTAGAGTACAGCAGAGCACATGGACACTAAATTCCAAGATAGAAGTTGTGCCGTACATTGGCGTGTGGGTTGGAAACCAACAGTTTCAACCACTATCCTGCTGCATCAGCAAACAAGTACATCTACATCAACGGAACGCAACCCTCGCACACACAACATTCCGAACGCCATGAACATGGAGATCGGGATCACCAACGCCGCCCCTCTCTGCACTTCGTCAAGACTATCAACCGCAATTACACTCGCCACGTCTTCGACGCCCCAACTGCACATGTCTCAGAAGACCCAATTGTAATGAAGCCTGTTGCATTTGCAAGACCAGAAAGCAAGCTTTCTCAATATGAAAATTTTCGAAAGTGTGTAACACTTTCTAAAAATTCGTATTGTGAAAGCGCAGCTGCCTGTAACGAAGCAAAGCAACGGCGAATTACAATTCGCCGAGTACATAACGAGGGTTGGAGGCCATTTGGCCTCCACCCACGACTTCATTTCGGAACTTTGCAGTTCCACTCCCCACCCACCCACCCTAGTTGTATATTTGTGTTAAGACTATCGTCATACCCCGGATATACCCCCATGGGGGGGTGTAATAAAACATGTCTTTTTAGGGGGGTGGGCTTATAATCGAGTAAATTTATAAGCGCAGGCGCTTATAAAACGACATATATATATTTAGTATTTTCCAACACCAAACTGTAGATCTCGTGCTTGCCTTTTCAATCGAGTCGAAGTTACATGGGGTCTTTCGTGAAATTCTCGCGCACGTTGGGAGATACACTCAATCTGGCTCACAAGGTGCCCCTGACAGGTCCTGCTGACTGGACTCGCAACCAGTGCAGGGTTCGAAAGTGAAGCGAACCGAATTTGCAACAAATCCGCCTTCTAAAGTAAAAATCGTTACAGTGTGTTGAACCAATTTCAAAATTTATAGTTTACATGCGCTTATAATAAAACAAGTTTTTTCAGGGGGTGCGCTTATAATCGAGGAGCGGATATAAGCGCCATATGCCAATTACAAGCGCCTGGCGCTTATCCCAGGGTGGCGCTTATATCCGGGGGGTGACGGTAAGGCAAGGGGGAATGGTCAGATTAGGTCAAGGTTGGGGTACAAGAGTGAAGGGTTGAGAGAGTTTCTGTACCCCCTAGTGCTAATCACCATACAGCCTAGATAACCTAAACATATATATATATATATATATATATATAATTTGACACACCCCCATAGGCGAAATGGGGGATAGCCAGAGCAAGCAACGGTCACAAGACCAGTCAAGAGAAGAAACAAAACACAGCTCAGGGTGGATCACAACGTCACCACGCAGTCTGAGCACAAGCAAAAGGCCACAAGGCCAGTTCACATGCAGAGATATATATAGATCACAGTACAAACAAAGCCTACAGCAAGTGAGGAAACGTGGGCACAAGGCCTAACAAAGTACAGAAACGCTGATGATCACCAGGCGGAAGTGCCTTGGTGAATATATCAGCAGTGTTGGCCCGAGTGGCCACGTAAGCAAGACGAAGCTGACCACGCTGCTGTAGCTCTCGAGCAAGGAAGTAACGCAGAGCGATGTGCTTCGTTCTGTGCTCCAGTCTGTGCTCCTGACACAAGGCAATGGCGGCCTTGTTGTCTACGTACAGAACTGGAGGAGAACGAGGCCGCTCTCCCAGGTCGGTCAGCAGGTAGGTGAGCCAGCGTAACTCCTGTGCAGCCATGGCTGTGGCGTAGATCTCAGCCTCACAACTGGAGCTGAGAACAGAAGACGAGCGCCGCCAAGAAAAAGGATCGGAGCCAAGGCTGAAAGTGTAACCCTGTGACGACCGCTGTGTAGCCTGGTCGTCAACCCAAGAAGCGTCTGAGTGCCCAGTGAGGACAACGCCGCTCCGTCCTCCAAGCACGAGCCCCATGCCCGATGTACTGCACAAGTAGCGTAGTACCCTCTTAGCAGCATCCATGTGCACCTTTCGGTGCCGACCAGGAGCCACG